AAAAAAAAAAAAAAAAAAAAAAAAAAAAAAAAAAAAAAAAAAAATCGGGCGAACCAACCCGGTCGATGCAATCAAAGAAATTAACCCAGAGTTGTCTGTAAAAACGAGAAAAAACTTACCCTCTCGTTAAAAATAGGAATTGATAACGTCGAGTACACAGCACAGGGGGGTGTCTCTCTCGGTGCAGATTCGTCGATAAAACTGCGAGAGGCAGCGATTGGCGCGGGCGCACCACCCAACCCGACAACCTCCCACATATAGAGCTCTCGCGCTCCTTTGCACTGTCCAGCCCAAACAGTGCGCCGCTCCAGCTTAGCTCGATAACCTACTCTCCCGACCACACAACCCCTTCGATTGTACATATTTGTAAGTGTGAAAATTAACATACATATAATTTTGCACTTACCTCCCATCCCTTTTGATATAATAATAATAATAATACACACACATCACTTGACTATCCTCGCAGCTCCAGGGGTCCCCATCGTGTACGCAATCACCGTTTGACAGACATCAGGAAAGTAAACACAATAAACATCATCCATCAGCTGTGAACGGTGTAGAGAGCAGACGCAGAAGGCAATGTCGTCGCGCTCGTGTTTGTTGGTGGCGCGGCAGGGAGCGACGGCAGGAGGGGGGAGCCGCTGCTGCCGGCAATTGAGTGAATTGAGCAGCCTGAAGACGACGACGTCGAGAACCGCGAGCGGTGCTTCCCCGACCATCAGTGCGTCATCGCCAGTGGCACGGCGCGGTTTACTCTCGATAACAAGAATGACGGGTGGCGCTAACAACGTGGTCCGCTCGCGCGACGCGTCCTCCGGACAGCACCAACGCGTCCTCACCGAGGACAATGTGTACGAGAACCTCGTGAAGATGGAGTACGCGGTGCGTGGGCCGCTGCTCATTAGGGCTATTGAGATCGAGAAGGAACTCACAAAGGTACATTTTTATTTGTTTATACGACTACGAGGGTTAAACATGTACAATATATACTTGTTTGTTTGGTTTTGGTAGCAGACTGCAGGCAGGGGATACACGGGAGAGATTTGTGCGCGAGGGAGAGGGGGAGCGAGAACGGTTTTTCCGCGTGAACGCAAGCTGGGGAATACATTTTAATGGCATTTCCTGGCACAACATTCCACTCCATGGCTCTGTTGTCTCTAATTTATTGCCTTTTTTTTTTTTTTTTTTTCGATCGGTGTAGAGTTTTCCAATTGATGGTTTGGAGGTGCCATTAAAAGCAAAACTAATTATTAATCACACTGCAGTCGCGTATTATACGAAAATGAAATAAACAGATCATTTACGTACATACAAACCGAACCCCTTTGACAATGCAAAAATAATTTTTCTGTGTGTACTTTCTATCGATAATTTGCTCCTCTATAAACCACGTCGAAACCACGTTGTGCCTCTGTAGTCACGCATATCCGCGCCTTTTCTTTCGTGTATAAGTACCTACTCGTCAAACATTCAACGACTCGTACGCACCAATCACTTTCCTGAAGTGTAAGCATTAATGTAACTATACTCGCTTTTGTTTTTTGTTTATCAATTGGACTACTTAAGCTGCTGGACAGCAAAATTGTTGATTTTCCATTTGCCAGTGGAACATCGCATTAACGTAACGTAACGTAATGCATATATATTTATCCAGAATTCGTGCAATAAAAATTTCTCGCGTTCGTTGCATTCCATGTACCTACACATGTCTTGGAAACGGCATAATTGCACTGAACGTATTATGTGTAATTGCTTTTTTTTTCCTTCTTCGATACACTACCACCTATATAGTCACCTGTTTGTCGTCAACGTTAAGATAAACTGACACTTTGCGCAGCATTTTTTTTCATTATCTCTTTTTTTGCATCGAAATCCTCGATCTCTCTTTGTATTATACTTTTCACGAGTATAATAGATAATTATGTAATATACATGCGCCATAGACTCCTCGAACTACTGAAATGCTGACATTGATTTTCCGGCTCGTACACATCCACACAACGACGTGACACAATTCGAGTCATTTCCCGCGAGGAAATCGATTCCCTAAACCATAACTTGTCCGCACAACACTTTTATTTGTGCCCTTGCCGTACTCGACCACAACAATACGATACGTATACTTTGTGCTGCGAGTTACGTGTACCTGTAGCCTTTACTATGGAAATAAAATAAGTCAAATACGAATGTAGGCACAGGCGAACGTCTTCTTGGAAATTGATAGTTTTGCGCCACTTTAACGTGCAGTGCAAAGATGCAGTTTGCGTATATTATATTCATCCACGTACTCGCGATTGAATTTAATCTCGGTCTCGATTTCGAGAGATATTACTCGTTCGAGCGAAATCTTGTGATGCGTTTACGTAACTTTCAAAAATAACGATCGTTACCCGAAAACCCGACGTCACGGCGTATGAAAAATTGTTCGAGCGAAAGCCACTGATCACGACCTCGAACGGCATATCGGGGGGAGACAGCGGTTAGCTTTCAAAAATGTTCCACGACACGTGACTGCCTTGCAAATCGCGCTCGGGATGAAAGCCAATCCATATCTTTCGTTACAGGCGCGCCAAAGGTCGTTCAACTTATCGATATGGAGCTTTTGACATTTCATCCAAGTCTCACTTGCGATGCATTAAAAAAAAAAAAAAAAAAAAAAAATGTACCCAATACTCTCTGTCAAAATGGCCAAAGTATACCTATCGCGCATTCGCCAATGTCAAGATCCAGATGAAATACAAATGCACTATCTTTAGATGGTCCGATGAAAGCGCATATGCACGTACACATATATAGGCAAGCCCGAGTGTTTATATTTAAAACACTGGAAAGTCTACTCTTTTCTCTCGCTCCCATCGCAGTACTGGTTCCTTTTTTCTTTTTTTTTTTTTTCGCACACACTCTGTGATGAATCATTCGGTAAGCTATAGATGCTGGAAAAAGTGATATCGCTATTATTCGTTGAAACGATTACACCGGTAGCACGAAAGGTGAGGAAAAAAGAAAGAAACAGAGAAATTAAAGCTAATTATTTAAATGCGAGCAATAATCTAATCGATCGCGCCTTTGCGTCAGTTACGAAGCCTCGCTGCAATCGTCAGCCTTAAAAAAAAAAAAACGAATACCTATATATCTTTCTGTAATCTCCCAAATCTACATCGGAGGTGTCGAATTCGCTCCCATGACTCAGAAAAGTGTCGAGTTGGCTCCCATGCTATTACAACTTCCCAGATTAACATTTTTCGATTTGTTACTCAATTTTCTCAGGTTAAGAATACCTTTTTACAATAACAAAGAATGAGATAAACAAATAATTTAAAAAAAAAATGAAAAAAGTACCTTCGTCAATGTAATCGTGTGAATGATCGGTATATTTCTCGATTAGTGTGTTGCTTGAGTCGAGTTTAATAAAACTTGTGCAACCTCTTGGTGTGCACTTCCAGCGCTGGACATCTTTGCTCAGCACTTCATGGAAACTAAAAGTATACCGATCTAAACAAATAAGAGTTTTTCCTTTCTCGCTGGTAAAACATTCCATCGTCATAGAATAAATAAACAACAAAAAAATTTACAGACAATACACCCAATCCGATGGACACACTTTCATGAAGACAACGAGAGCACAACTGACACAAAGTTTAGTTTCTGCTCAATTCTGCCCTACCACTGAGCTTACTTCGTATAACACACATACGTATAATTTAATGTTTTCATTTTAAAGTCCATCTGTCCCAATGAATACAGTCCCATGTTTTGATTTTAAGGCTCATTGACTCAATAGAATTCCGCACAGTACTATGTAAACATACTTACTACAATATCGAATTTGGATTTCGAGATTTAAAGTCTTTCTAAATAGTTGAAAATTTTTATTTGTACGGGAGCCAATTCGACCGTACTTTCTAAAGATCCGGGAGCCAATTCGACCCTAGTTTCTAATGACCAGGGAGCCAATTCGACCATAGATACGGCGTTATCTGGCATTCGGGAGCCAACTCGACACCGGCCATCTACATTAAGGCTCTTATCTCTCTCGCTCTCTCTCTAGGAACACGTATATTTATGACTCGGTAATTAAAAAAAAATTTTTTTAACTCTCATCCCTTATTGTCTCCTCGTAAAATATTTTTTCACGCAAACTATCGCGGTATGTATGATAGCATGAACATTTTTTTTATTGTTCCGCGTAATTAAACTCAATGGGTTGTAATTCGCAAGCCGGAAGAAGCGGAGCTACTATGTAGTATTGACGCAAGTCAGGATAATGAGAAAAAAAAAAAAAAAACAAACAAACATGTTTGTATACGTGCAATTGTGTTCTCCTCAATCAATTACGAGATGCTGGCCAACGAGCCTTTTAAATTACGTCCGTCCTGTCAATATTTACGGCGCTGTTGTGTGCTTCTACATACATATACGTTATACTTACCGATCGTGTATGCGACTGCGATTGATTTTACTTAGATTGATCTAGACATTATTGCTTGGTAGTGTAAAATATATATTTCTAGTATCACGTTTGTTTATGTTAAAACTTCACATGACAAGACAATTAAGCGAAAATGTGTACTGGCATTCGCGAAACCTTAAATCGCAACTCTAACAAATAGACAAATCTACTATTTTCACAAATACAAAGAACTCCGTGTTCATCTTAACATTACTGAATAAAACCAATACACCCACGAGGTAGATGATTGGGTCTACAATTACGCTCAGCCAGATGTAACCCGATATCACCAGCACCCACTTATCCCTTTTTTTTATTGTAGAAAAAAACCGCAGCATAAATTTTAAAAATCAATAGTTTCATCCGGTATAGGTACATAGCCACTTGAAGCCAAAAGGGAAAGAAACGAGGAAAACAAAGTATTGCATGTTAATTTGAAAAAAAAGAGAGATAGTTAAAATAAACACAATCGTCAGCTTAGAGCTGTGCGGTTACAAAATCGCTTCGCACCGAAAGGCTTCGACTTTCACACCCCACACACACGTACACATAGGTATATAAACCGAAACGCCAACTTGTTGCTAGCTCTCATAAGCACACGTTGTATTTATATATATGTATAATTTGATATACCACAGATGCACGTGCCCTCGCAAACGTCCACACACACGTGTGCACTGTACGCCGATGTGTATGAGAATAAGAACTCGTTACTTATATACTCACATATCGTATATACATAACGCACTCGACTATAATCTCGCGCCCTCGTATTCTGTAATTCCGCTCTTCCGAGCCGAGGTGCAAAGGCTGTAAGGCGATGCCTTTTTTTCTTCACCCCCTAGTTTGTACTGCGCGCACCTATATACTTCATCTCTCTCTCTCTTCGATATTTACTTGAAAGGCGAACCGCTTGGCCGAGTCCGAGGTGGTGCGGTACGTTGTATCGGTAATCCAACGCAAGGAGGCATGAAGAAGAGCTTGTTTGCTATCAACCAAAGTATACAAAGGTGAAAAGGGGCAAGAATCAATGACGCGGAGTGCGAGATAATCGTTGATGAATCGTGGACTCGCGAAACGAGGTGAATGCCTCGAAACCTATTCAAGGTTGCATCGATACATCCTTTATTTGTTTTCTATACAACCGCACGCATTAAAGGGGTGTATATAAACGTTTTTTATAACCCACCTTATATTATACCTATATGTTTAATGATGCAGTTACCGCGCAAGAAACAGATATAACATCGCGTGTATGTTGATGATAAAAATAATAATAATATGATGCGCAATGAAACCTTGAACAATGAAAAGCCGAGCGTTACAAGTGGTTCGCCTCGTGTGTTGTATGTAGATTGCATATCGCACAGTGACTGGGTGCACCTACCATCACCTATATAGAGGTACACATTGACGTGTTGTTCCCACACCTATATACGGAAAAACGCGCATCTTTCGAACATCGGATCCGTGAAATGGCTACATTAACGAAGGATACGGTTGATTGTGTACAGTCGCAAAAAAGCGATGGATCGATTAGGGCGCAAAAAACGCGGAGGACGGGATTCTCGTTCGGCGGAGCCGTAACGGGGCGCGGCCATCATTCAATTTGAAGGGTAAATGTTTTCGGCGCGCTGTACGTAATTACACTCTGGATTGATTGGAAAAATATTGGCGCGCTGAAAACATTTCATTTATCAAACAATTGGAACGGAACCGAGGTGTCTTGGAAAGGTGTCCGCTGCAGCTGCTTATATATGGCGTGTACTGATACCTTGCGTACAGAGGGCTGCAAATGATTTTTACCTGGAACATAATTATTTACCGTACATCGGAGAAATTAAAAGGCTTGGGTTGAATTTTCATCTCGCAACGAACACCTTTTACTGTTTGTACTTGGTTTCTGTCGCTACCTATGTCCTCTATAGTTTCTCTCGGTTTCTTTTCGTTAGGTACGATAGTTTCACAAAAGTAATTTATATTTTTATCAGTGCAAAACGTATGACTATATACCACATATAAGGACATAATTATCGGTTATCTCACAGTGAAAACGTTAAAAAAAAAAAAAAGCCAAAATTTCGTTTCATAGCATCGAACTTTTCCGTATCAAATTTGGATAAAATTTTAACGACAAAGTTATGAATTTTATTGGCACATACATTTTGCAATTGCCATTTCCGTCTAAAATGTCGTCCCAACACAGTATATAACAAAAAACTGTTGCTTTAAAATGTCAAAAAATCGAATCAACAGAACAAGAATAATAGAATATCATTATTTTAGATGTATACTCACTGCTGCATTTACAAATTACTAATTACATGTCAGCTGGCCTCGACTCTCGAGCGCAGTTTAAAAACGGTGCCCTCCAACGAGGAGCGTGAGAACTATTTGGGCCTAGCATGATCAGTATATCTATATAACCGATTATAGGCACGTTAGCCGAAGATATAGATATACTTACCAACACGCTAAGCAGTTGACACATTCACAAGTATCTCGTCTAACAGAAATTCAACAGACTAAGAACATTTATTTTAAGTTGAAAATATACAAACCTTGTGTGATGTAGCCCAATGCAAAACTATATTATATTCCAATTGTGTTTATTAGGAGAAACTTAGAAATTGCCCTCTGAAATACGTCGTTTATGGCATCCGCAGAGCTTCATGTTGCCGTTTTTCTTCCAATGTACTTCAAAATGGTAGATTGTCATTATTTGAGATGTGTATACTGACTGTTCCGTTTACAAATTATCCATTACGTGTTAACCGGTCTCGACGTCAAAAACAACGTCCTCTGATGAGGAATTCGAGAACTATTTGGTCCTACGTCTAGCATGATATCAGTATATCTATATAACCGATTACAGTCAAGTTGGTCGGGCATATAGATATATTTACCGATAGGCCAAGCAATTAACACATACACAAGTATCTCACTTACAGGCATTTTGTTATCTATACCAAACTAATGCTTGAAATTTACTATTAAACAAGCCGGGCAGCAAGAGCTCAGTAGCTGCGTGGTTAAGTGCGTTTGAAAGCTTTAGCTATCAGATATTGAGTTGCCAGAAGGTCCGGGTTCGAGACNATAGATATACTTATCGATACGCTAAGCAATCAACACATTCACAAGTTTCTCACCTACAGGTATTTTTTTATCTATACCAAACTAATGCTTGAAATTTACTATTAAACAAGCCGGGCAGCAAGAGCTCAATAGCTGCGTGGTTAAGTGCGTATAAAAGCTTTAGCTATCAGATATTGAGTTGCCAGGAGGTTCGGGTTCGAGACCAACCTTCGACGTAGTTTTAAGCGGTGTTGGGTAGAAATTAATTTCTATAAGCCGTAGTCAGTAAGCAAGTAGATTTTAATGTAGAATTAAAAATCATAGATTTAAGGTAGTGTAGTAAGACTAGATGTAAGGTAGAACAATAAGAGTAGATCTTAAGGTAGAATAATTAGAATAATAATTAGAATTAACGTAGAATAAAAAAATAGGTGTAAGATAGAATAAGAAAAATAAAAATAAGGTAGAGTTAAGCCTAGATCTAAGGTAGAATCATAAGTTAGCACATTGAGGGTTGTAGGGTCAGATAGAAAGTAGGATAGGGAAATTGAGCCAGGAGCCTCACTTAGGGTGTTAGAAGATTGTAATAACAACTACTAGGGATGACAGGTCAGCTAATACCTGGCTCAAGCGCTGTTGTGCGCACCCAAATTTTTGCAATTTTTTTATTTTCACGTTGCGCTCGTATCGTATAAACATTTTGGCCAACCCACATACAGACATTACTCAAAAAAAGCCAAACCATGTAAGCATATTTGTGTTTCCGCTCACAAAAAAAATTAATTTTATTTTTACCGATCAAGTTAATCTTTTAAACGCAATCTCGATAATAAAATGTTGATTGTCACGCAATACGTTACCATTTCTCAGAGTCATGGTGATCGAGTTTTTGAAAACGATCAAAGGCGCCCTGTGCCACAATTATTCGATGAGCCTGTATAATAACACTTATGTAGTACAGCCACTAATTCCCCTTGTTGCCAGCAAAACGCGAGATGAAAAAGCCAACTGGCGATCGAACAAGGTGTAATGACAGACTTTCATCCTTGTTCGCGACACGCGTTGCATGTTATCGTCATCTCCGACGTAAAGCTAAAGAGCCCAGGAGGCCATAGTCTCTAGCCACATGATTAGACACACGTACCTATAAAGCTTATACGGCTCGTACAGTATACACGTGTGTAGGGCTCCACGACGATATGATTTGTGGTTCGATGCGATATCTCTATTATCCAACGTAGGCCATCATTTGTCCCTTGCTTCAAGTAAGTACTCTGCCGTCCAACGGGGAAAAAAATCGTTAGTGCCAACATTGACGAGTTGAGATAAACGACGCTAAAAACTATTTGCATTAGAAAAAAAAAAAAAGATTTTTACACTAATACACAAACGTGGCGATTACGTTTTTTTCCAGGGCTACTCTTGCACAGCAAGGAAAGCCAAGGTTTTTTTCCAATGCTGACTTTACTCAGGAAATAAAAAGTGCTCTCATGGTATAGTCTGTCTGGTATCGTTAACCGAATTTGTGTCAATTACCTTTTTATGGACTGGTGAAAATTTGTTTGATCGTCTTCCTTTATCTTAATTTTATGATTATTAATTATACTTGAAGAAAAAAAAAAAAATTGGACGACCACACTCGAAGGAATCAACTATCGAACGGACTTTCTCTCAAAGCCGAGCGTACACTTTTGCATCAGGGATAAGAAAAAAAAAAAAAAAACGTACACGCGATGATACCGCCCGTACAGGTGAAATCAGAGCCCGTAAATTATTGTACCCCACTTGTGCAGCCGACTGATGTGTAACTGTATTATGCATCGATCGAGCCATCCGGCATCGAAGGTACTCCCATCCTGCATTACTTAATCATCCATATCGGCATCTTTGCCCAAAATGATAGAACTTATATTTGCGTGCACTTATAACACATAATTGCCCTATACAGACACGCACTCGCTAAGAGCGCAACCGGGGAGTATGTACAGAGAAGCAACGAGGCTGTTTTCATATGGTTAACGATACAGCGATGCACGACGCAGCCTCGGTACATTATTGACGAACGAGTGATGTCAGGTATACATGTATATACATACATGTTATACGTACTAAGTCGTAATGATAAAGCGTGCCGGGTTACTGTTTCTATTCTTCCTCTGGCTTGTCTCGACTCGCATAATTTGTACCCTCGCACGAGACTGCGTGTACATCATATTATATTTATACACCGTAGCCACTCGGCATGGGCGAAAGGAGCCACCACCTTATATAATATCTGTATATATATACGATATCTCCCTCACTTTCTTACGTGTAACATCACGTATATCTTATAACGTAAAACACAACAATCGAAACTCACGTTTATACGCCTTTAATTGCAAAGGGAGCAAAGAAGCCGTTCAAGGAGGTGCTCAAGGCAAACATCGGCGATGCCCACGCGATGGGCCAACAGCCCATTACCTTCCTCAGGCAAGTTCTCGCCCTGGCCATTTACCCCAAGCTCCTGGACGATCCCAGGTGAGTTTCCAAAAGTCATCAAGGATTATCTCTTTCCGTTCGATCGTTCGATCTAGTGTAAAAAAAAAAAAAAAAAAAAACCATGTTTTCAGTTTTCCAGAAGACGCTAAGGAACGCACGAGGACGATACTCGATGGCTGCAAGGGCTCGAGCATAGGCTCGTACTCGGAGTCGTCGGGAATCGAAATAATCAGGAAACACGCGGCCAAGTACATCGAGGAGCGTGACGGCGGTATCCCCAGTAATCCCAATCATATAATGCTGTCCAACGGAGCCTCCGATGCAATCAAGGTCTCTCACATGTGGTTTATATATGTGCATGGGAATTGGAAATTTTTATCCTTTTTTCGTTGAACGTCACTACTTTATCCCCATTTCCACAGTCGTTCCTGAAGCTGTTCAACGAGCGGATAAATGGCAAGCCAACCGGGGTCATGATCCCCATACCCCAGTACCCGCTGTACTCGGCGGCGCTGGCCGAGTTTGGGCTTCACCAGGCCGGCTACTACTTGAACGAGGACAACAAGTGGTCGCTGGACGTGAGCGAGTTGGAGAACACGTACAGCGAGGCTCAGCAGCACAGCAATCCCCGCGTCCTTGTCGTCATCAATCCGGGAAATCCGACCGGCCAGGTGCTCTCGCGGGAGAACATCGAGGACATCATTAGGTTCGCCTACAAGAAACGGCTCTTCCTTCTCGCCGACGAGGTGTACCAGGACAACATCTATCACAAGGACTGCTGCTTCCACTCCTTCAAGAAGGTCATGAACGAGATGGGCGAGCCCTTCTCCAAGATGGAGCTCGCATCCTTCATGTCGATATCGAAAGGTCCGTGTATCTTTTTTTTTTTATCATACATCATTTCGGTAGTTAATTTCAATATTTGCGTCCTCAGGATACATGGGCGAGTGTGGTTTGCGGGGTGGTTACGGCGAGATCGTCAACATGGACCCAAAGGTCTTTGCCATCCTGATGAAATCGATATCGGCAATGCTGTGCCCGACGACGGTCGGTCAAGCAGCTATGGACGTGGTCGTTAATCCGCCGAGGCGCGGCGAGCCCTCCTACGAACAGTTTCTCAAGGAAAAGGAGGAGACCCTCAAGTCGCTGGCCGAGAGGTCGCGACTCGTCGTCGACACTTTGAACTCGATTCCTGGATTCTTCGTAAGTGAATTTGACTCCGAGTTTTGTCCTCACTCGTGTAAAATGGTACTTTATGGGGGATGTTTTTTTTGTAACAGGCTAATCCAGCTATGGGTGCGATGTACGTGTTCCCGAGGATCGACCTGCCCGAGAAGGCGATCAAGGCAGCCAAGGCGGCCGGTCAGCACCCCGACGTTTTTTACGCCTTCAAGCTTCTCGAGAGTACAGGGATCTGCGTCATTCCTGGCTCGGGCTTTGGCCAACGGCCCGGCACCTATCACTTCCGCACGACTATACTGCCCCAAAAAGACAAGATCAAGACGATGCTCGGAAGCCTCAAGGAATTTCACGAAAAGTTCATAAAAGAGTACTCTTAGATTTTATAAAAAAA